TTAAGGCAACTGTGACTGTCGGTAGATTACGCACAGTTACTATAGAAGTCAGTACAAAATTTTCGATTTTTAAAACGCGCAATTTTGATCAGAATGTCAAGTGTGATATATCACCAAAAAGGAAATTTCATGCACTCAAAGAATATATAAGAATTTTTGTCGTATGTTAATCAGGTCACGTGACAGAGTTCTTCAAAGTTAAAAATCGCAATTTTTCAATGGCTGTAGGACCGGAAGTTAACGATGAACAACAAAAGTGGAGATATATTCGGATAGATCTCGTAAGAAGCAACAACTTTTGTTCAGGTCACAAGGTCACCAAAGGTCAAAGTCACTAGATATGAGCCTTAATAGTTTTGACAATTACTGAAAACATAAAACCGGAAATAAAAAAAATACAAAGCCAAAATTCAAAAATCGGCTTCCCATGTTTTGTTAGCAATCGATTGTAGTTTACATAAACATCAAATTTACGCACATCCAATTTTACCCTGAGGCCCCATTTTGAGTTTTATAAAAATGAGTCATATCAAGATGGCGTCTTACACATTACTTCCGGGTCAAATTTTTTGATTCCAAAATTGTTATAGGGACAATTTTAACTAATTTCAAAAAGAATTTTTCAAATACCTACAAAATTCCGGAAGTTGAAATTTCAAGTTTAGAGGCGAATGACGTCAAAACCGGAAGTGATATCGAAATTTTGAAAATAGATTTTTGTCAGGAATCAAAATGCTTATCTACTATTAAATTTTTAGACGGATTGAAATAAACTTGTAGAAGTTGAAAAAAAACGCTAAAATTAAAACAAAAAAAGTCAGCGACAAAAGTCAAAATCTGAAATTTTATAAAGTGCTATCTTTTAGTCATTGGTTTAAAGTAATGAACAAAACAAAAGTTACGGTCAAAATAGATGCAGAATTAGAGCAGTAATTCGAAATACGTAATGAATGGTTAACGTCATACGTCATTTCCGGTTGGAAGAAAATGCGTCATTTTACATTTAATCAGTAGCGACACGCAAAGTATAAGAAATAATAGTGTCAGACAATGTGTGACATGTGCAGTTTTGGCTGGGGAGCGTGACCAGAAGTAGACAAAAAAAAAAAAAAAAAAAATAGTCATTTGCAAAACAATGCAGTGCGTTCTTCGAACGCACTGCAATAACAAATAAACCAATACTCTATAACAGATAAGCCAATGCTATATAACAAATAAACCAATACTATATAACAGATAAGCCAATGCTCTATAACAGATAAACCAATACTATATAACAGATAAACCAATCTTATATAACAGATAAACCAATACTCTATAATAGATAATCCAATGCTATATAACAGATAAACCAATACTATATAATAGATAAACCAATACTCTATAACAGATAAACCAATACTATATAACAGATAAACCAATACTATATAACAGATAAACCAATACTCTATAACATATAATCCAATGCTATATAACAGATAAACCAATCTTATATAACAGATAAACCAATACTCTATAACAAATAAACCAATGCTATATAACAGATAAACCAATGCTATATAACATATAATCCAATACTCTATAACAGATAGACCATTACTCTATAACAGATAAAGC